ATACAAATAAGCCTTATTCATGATATTGTGAGCACCGCTGGTCTTAACCACATGCATGTTAATAATAGCATTAAACAAAGTTGAAACTGCACTTCCGGCCAACGTCGCAACGTGACCAGTCACAGGGAAACGGAGCTCTCCATTCCTTTGATGGCTTCTCCCATTTGTGGGCTTCGAAAGGAATCCAAAGCCATCTTGTAGGGGTGGCAAAGCTAAGGAGGGGCACTCTGAGAGGTCGTAGAAGAGATTGCAACTCTCCTGCTGAGCCCGGGGGCCTTTTTCCCTCTATGTCACAACAAGGAAAAGAGGCAGTCTAAGATTGCTGCCATGAAACTGGGACAGCCAATGACCATATAAGCACAGTGCAGGAGCAGACTTTAGTGAACAGTGTGTGAACTGAATGAGAAGAATTCTTTTTATTCAAATTTTTAACTCCAAAAAAAATCCTGAAAAAGAGAGGCTCACAACTATTTTTAAAAGTAGCAGCGACCTAGCACTTTGAGGAAATTTTAAAATGGAAGGAAAAAGGTTAAAGGCAAAAAATCATTAAAATACAGAAAATTGGACTTTCAAATTGGACAGGCACTGCTTTGGATAGGCATTTTGAAATGATGTAATTATCTGAAAAATTGTTATTTTTACATTGTGGGAAAATGGAAAAACTGGTTAATATTGAAATCCAATGTAAGAGTGCCACCTGCTGATGAAAGGAAAAATAACATTCTCTCCAAATCTTGGAAATATTTGATTACTAGGGATTTAAATATGATAATAAGAAAGACATTATCATTAAAAGGACTCCTAAAGATTAAAATACAAGACTGAATTAATAGAGGGACCTAAGGAGGTTTTGGAAAACTTATGGGACTATCCAGAGGAACAGCTGGATCAATTTTGGGATACAAAGAATTAAGAATATTGAATTTTTTGAGAAGTAACTATAGGTTTGAATATATGATCTTTGGATTTTTGGACAAAAGAGGGACCCAATAAAATTTAATTAGATGCTTCATCAAGGAGAAAGGAGTGGAATTTGGGAAGAGATGGCATCGGCAATTCAAAGTACAAGGGAGACATTGACAAGACATTTTAAGGAAATTATGAACCGAATACAGAGCATAGATGGAATGCTGGGAAATATAACACAAATGACAAAATATAACACAAATGACAAGATGCCCAGGAAGGGGAGGAGCCAACTAAAAGAGTAGATGAAAAAATGGAACAGACAAAACAATTAAAATAAGATGATGAGGAGAGAATAACAAAAATAATAAGGATTGATGACAAAAAGCCAAGGGGAAAGTATTCCAAGGAAATAAAAAAAATGGAGAACCAGGAAGATTCTTATGGGAGAGAGATAGAGGCAAGAGTAGATACTTTGAAAACTGGACAACAGAGAAAGACGAGAAGGGAGAAATGTTTAAAATGTGTAGCCAAGATGTGGAAGCAGACAGAAATAAAGATTCAAGAGAGGAATATGGGAGGCAAGCTAAGAAACAAACAATTAAAGTTTTAAAGCAGTCAAGAGATGATGGCTAGAAAGGGAATATGTTTAAATACAGTAGTGGCATAATCAAAGTTAGAATTGGGATGGAAACTAGAGAGAGGGGGGTTAATAAAATACGCATTTTTATATAATGAGAAGTAACATTAAGAGGGGAAATTAGAACTTGAAAGAGGGTATTACTAAGTATACTTAAATAATATGATGACTGTATAAAAATAATATATTGAACTATTGATTAAATAAATAATGAAAGATTATAATCCAATATGAATATGTGTATGTTTGCAAATGTAACAAATATGATTAAAAATTCTTTATTTGTATCAAAATGTATGACATGCAGAATATGGTGATTGACATAAACTATCATATTGAAAATTGAATAACCAAATAATGAAAGATTATAAATTGAACAAGCAAATAATAGAATATTTTAATTTAACATAAATTAACATAAATGTTTGTATTATTATTAGAATTATATTAGTTTGCTAAATGTAATAAATATGATTAATAATATTCTATTTGTATTAAAATCAATCACTTGGAATAAGGTGATTGGCATAAAAATGACACATTGAAATATTGAATTACTAAATAATGAAATATTATAAAGTAATAAAAATATGTGTATTATTACTAGAATTATATAAGTTTGTTAAATGAAACAAATATGATTAATACCATTTTATTTTATCAAAATGTATGACACTCAGGTGCCACACTGTTCACACATTGATATGTTGTAAAAAATAAAAAACTTGGGGGAAAAACAAAGTTGAAACCTTAGGTAAAGCCAAATGACAACACTGAGTCAAAAGCGAGTAGAGATACAGTAAGTGCAATAGATACATCCCTAGAGGCTGATTACCCATTAAAAGGGCTTGAGAAAATATTGCCACAGAGAAGTGCTGTGCAAGTTCTTGCATTAATCCTTCAACAGACAATAAAGGAAGATACTATGGGGCTCAGGAAAGAATGGGGCTCAGTTTCACCCTAATTAAAACGTATGAGGCCTGTGTTGACCAGAATAAATCATGAAAGATCTATCTCCTAAATTATTCCTATTGTCATAGGAGACCCTTGTTATTCTTAAATGCTTCTGTAAAGGAAGAAGAAACAGTGGGAAAAGGCTGCCTGATACATTTACATTATGAGCTGACTCTTCCATAGATTGCTTACATAGGAGACTTTCTTAGGAATTTGCATTGTCTATGAAATTGACAAACAAGAGAAGCCAAAGAGATTTTCAGATAGAAAGTGTATTGAAATTTTCTTGATAATTTGTTAATTTGTTCTTTTGATTTGATCTTCAAAAATATGACAAGTGTTTCAGAATGGTTGTCTTTGTTTTAAAAATATTTAAATATGAGAATTATATTGCTGCAATGACTAAAATAAAATCTTTTGCCAAGGAGATTGCTATCTAGCTAATGACTCAAAGAAACTTGAATGAAATTAAAATGTAATTGAATTAAAATTACGGTAAAAAGAACAGTTTAGGTTGGTATACGATGAATACAGAGACACCAATTTTGAAATAAATGAATTTACTGATGCAAAAATATGTATTGATTAAATACAGAAGTGATGCTTTAGCACATTGATGGAGAAAATCTGCAGATGAACTTGGGGATACATGGATATGAGATCATTATCTGAACCTATACCATTGCAATATAATTAATGAAGTGTTCTTACATCTCTGCCCTTATTGCCCTGCAGACAATGTCCCACCAGCCTTGTTTCAAGTGATTCATTCCAGTGGTGGGATTCAAAATATTTTACTACCGCTTCTGTGGGCATGGTTTGGTGGGCATGGCGTGGTTTGGTGGGTGTGGCAGGGGAAGGATACTGCAAAATCCCCATTCCCTCCCCACCCCAAGTTAAAAAGGAGGAATTTAAATTGCAAGCCTTTGCAGATGACTTGGTCTTTATTCTGGAAGATCCTCTTGAGACAGCTTTAAAATTATTCGAAAAGATAGAGATGTATGGTAATTTTGGCTGGCTTGAAAATAAATAAAGACAAAACAAAGATTTTGACAAAGAACATGTTATTAAGACAAAGAGAAGAGCTGACAGACCTATTGAAAATTCAAGTTACGAATAAAGTTAAATATTTGGGGATATATTTGACGTCAAGATGTACTACACTGAAAGAGAATAACTATATTAAACTTAAGCAGCAGATAGCATCTGATCTGAAAAAATGGGAAAACTTACAATTGTCACTGATAGGTAGAATTTCAACAATTAAGATGAATATTTTACCTAGAATGTTATATTTGTTTCAAACAATACCAATTAGGTTAGGTAAAGACTATTTTGAAGAATTAAATAAAATTGTGTTGAAGTATATATGGCAAGGTAAGAAAGCGAGAATAAAATTAAAACTTTTACAGGATGCTAGAACTAGAGGAGGATTTGGCCTTCCTAATTGGGAGTTGTATTATCAAGCTGCATATTTAATGTGGGCTAAAGAATGGATAACGTTAAGAAAGACTAGATTGCTGGCATTAGAAGGACATGATTTACTATTGGGTTGGCATGCTTTTCTATGGTATAAGGGAACTAAATCACAGGGTTATTTTAGAAGGCATTATATACGGGAATCGTTATGGTTGAATTGGGAGAAAATTAAGAAACAATGTTATTTGAAAATTCCAGTTTGGTTATCAACTATTGAAGCCTTTTCTTATCCTATAATTTATAAGAAGGAACAAACAGTTAGATATGGGGAATTACTAGATGAAAAGGGTGAACTTAAAACGATGCAAAATTTAGAAGAACAAGGTATAAAGATGAATTGGTTTTCATATGCGCAAATACATTCAAGGTATCTTAAAGATTCCAAAATGGAAGGATTTTATAACAAAATGACTGATTTAGATAAGATTTTGACAGGTACTGATGAAAAAGTGATTAAAAAATTATATAATTATTTGTTGGAAATTAAATTGGAGGATGAACAAGTTAAAGAAATGATGATTGCTTGGGGGAAGAATTTTGGATATGGGATTGACTTAGAGAAATGGCAAAAGTTGTGGTCTCAAAATTATAAAATGACAATGTCAACAGCATATAAAGAAAATTTGTATAAGATGTTTTACAGGTGGCATTTTCCTCCGACAAGAATAGCAAGAATGTTCAAGAACAAATCTGAAAAGTGCTGGAAATGTCATCAGATTCCTGGTTCATATTACCATATGTGGTGGACTTGTGAGGAGGCCAGGAAATACTGGACTAGAATTCGCATATGGTTGGAAAAAATGACAAAGAAACATATAGATTTGAAGCCAGATATTTTTTTATTGGGAATCTTACCTGATACATATAATAAAAACTTAAAGTATTTGATTGTAAATGTATTAACAGCAGCGAGAATTGTATTTGCTAAAAATTGGAAGAGTGAGAAAATACCGTTAGAGGAAGAAATCATTAAGAAAATATTGGAATGTGCTGAAATGAGTAGATTGACATTTGAAATTAGAGAACAAGAAGATAAACAATTTTATGAAGTTTGGGATCTTTTTTATCAATGGTTAGATAATACAATATAATAATAGAATAGTTAGAAATTTAGGAAATAACGAATATACATTTTTTCTTGGTCTTGATAACACTTTTAGAATATTTTATTAAGATAGACTTGGTATGATTTTATGATTTGTTATAAAATAAAGTAACTAAATTACAGTTATCTCGCTTAAGTATGAATTAGTAAAATTATAGTCAAATGATTGTTTAATAATGATATTAGGATGTATAATTGTTGATTGATAATATGAGTTATTATGTAACATAATTATTATGATGACTATGAAATGGATGCACAAAAAGGAGTGGTAAACCAACCAATACACTGTCTGTAAATATATGAAGAATGATGATGTTTTTTATATTATGTTTTTTGTGTTTTTGTTTGTCGTTAAAATCAATAAAAACTTTAAAAAAAGAAAGAAAGAAGACCCAGCCAATCAGCTGGGACTCGGGTGGGGCCAGGTAGAGGTGACAATTACTGGTTCTCCGAATGACTCAAAATTTCCACTACCAGTTCTCCAGAACTGGTCAGAACCTGCTGAATACCACCTCTGATCCATTCCCTTTTAGAGCCTGGACAAAATCTGCCATCAAGCTGCTGTGATACTTAAAAATATTTTAACAGTAAAATTGTTCTATTATTGTTTTATTTGCTAGAAATGACAGGCTGAGTATTATGATGCTATCTAGAATTATTTCATATTATGGATTTCAAGGAAGTGGATAAGTTTTGTACTGGCAGACAATTGTAAGAATAATTTCTGGCTACATTGTTCCCAAATATCCTTGATGTTTTCTACAGTCAAGTAATATTGTTCCATGGATTCATGGGTTGAGGAACAGAAGAACTATTGTTTCAAGTCCATCTGGTCCTTTAACTTTCTGAAGTCAGCATTCTAGTACCCTTTTTAATTTTTGCCAAAAGTATGCATATATCTTCTTTCTTCAGGTATAGAAAGAAACACTTCTATCATAATAAAGCATATTTGATGCATTATCTATAAACAGTGATAAAAAACTGAAAAACCAAACAGTCCAACAGAAATATCTTAAGAAAGGGTTTCCCACCCCCTTAGCAGATGGTATGGTTTTGTTGCTGCTTTTCTAAGACATTTGTTAATATCAAAAAAAATACCTCATACCCAAAGTCCAAGAGAGAAACAGGTCATTTCCCATCTCTGAGAATGTTGATTGATTGATTGATTGACTGATTGATTGATTGATTTTAATATTGCTATATATGAAATATGTTCTGTTACATTCCCTGTGGAGTTTTCTTTCCTTCTTCAATGTTACAAAACTGTCATTTGCAGCTGTTGCTAAACGGATATGATGTCATGACCTGAACACATAGCCTTGAAAGAACTGTTGTTTGAAACAGCTGCTTGAAAAAAAAAAAAAACCAATGAGTTTTCCTTCCACAATGGGATTTTCAAAAGAAGAAAGAGAGGATATGATTAGTAATATCATAAAAAATTCCACATATTGTCCTTTGGCAATTTTATTATCCTATGATTGCTAAGCTAAGATTTTGCTAAATGTCAGCATTTTCCTTGATGCTTTTTAAAATGTTCTATTTCTAGTTCAGAAGGAAAATATTGAATAACTTTTGATACATACTCTCTTGATTCTGAAAGAATTGAAAACAACTTCCTTGGACAGTTTCAATTAGATATGGGTCTGAGCCACATTGTCTGAATATGAACTTTTCCAGAGCTTAAGGGATTATTGAAAAGGAATCTCTGGGCTGCACCCTGGAATATCATGACCAGAGAAAATATTCTCATTAGGATTTTTCTTACTGCTTATTGAAGAGTTGCCAGATTCTTTTACAGATAGTCTGTTTGGCTGTGTTTCCAGAACTGGCCCAAACTGGAAAAGAAAGTATATAAGAAAAAAATCTTCTAAAAACAAGTAATTGAATAACAGCAGCCAATTAACACTATTAAGAGGAAATATGGTCCTGCATTTGTGTTAGATTCCAGATAGAAGGATCTACTTAATGCTATGGATATAATTTGCTTGTATTTCATTAAAGCATTTGACAAAGTAAACTACAGCCTACTTCTTGCTAAGATAGAACAAGGGATAGATAGTACCATCACCAGATGGATTTACAACTGGCTAACCACACTCAGTGGGTCGTCCATAATGGAACTACATGTATAGGGAGGAAAGCATGCAGTGGCTTCAGGGCTCTCTCTTAGGTACAATATTTCTCAACATCTTCATAAGTGTTCTAGATGAAGAAATAGGATAACTCATCAAATGTGTAAATGACAACAAACTGGAGGAAATGCCATCACTTTGGAAGATAAAACGTAAGATTCAGAAGGATCTTAACAGAGTTGATCAGAGTTGGGTCCTATTCAACAAGATGCAATTCAGCCATGAGAAAAGTAAGATCCAGAACTTAGGAAGGAAAAAATAAATGTATGGGTATAGAATAGATGATATTCTATTCTATAGGTAATATTCTATTCTATCAACAGTATCTGTGAGAGGGACCTAGATGTCCTAGTGCAGTGATCCCCAACCTTTTTTACGCCGCGGCCCGGTACCGGCATCAGCTGGGCGCCGCCATCTTTTTTTGATGAAAACGTGCTTCTGGTGAGCTTTCTACGCAGAAAAGCTCACCGGAAGCGCTGGCGCCGCCATCTTTTTTTGATGAAAACGTGTTTCCGGTGAGCTTTCTACCCGGAAAAGCTCACCGGAAGCACTTTTTCATCAAAAAAAGATGGCGGCGCCCAGCAAACCAGCGGCCTGGTAGGAGTTGTTCCGCGGACCGGTACCGGTCCACGGACCGGTGGTTGGGGACCCCTGTCCTAGTGTACCACCTCTTAAGTTTGAGCCAGCAGTGTGCTACAGCTGTCAAAAAAACCAATGCAGTCCTACGCTGCATCAACAGAGTGTTAGGGTTATGATAGACTATGATAGGAAAAAGATGCCGAGACCAAGAAATATGATAATGATAAAGGGATTAGAGGCTAAATTATTTGATGAATGGTTAAGGGAACTAGATATGTCTAACTTAATGAAGAGAAGGACTAGGCGTAATATGATAGAGGTCTTTCAGTATTTGAAAGGTTATCATAGAAAAAAGGGAGTCAAAGGCACCTGGGGGTGGGACAAAAAGCAACGTAAACTCATTAAAGAGAGCTCCAACCTGGAACTAAGAATAATTTTCCTGACGAGATTAATTAACTAATGGAACAGCTTCCCTCCCAGTGCTCCATCACTGCTAGTTTTCAAGAAAAGTCTGGACATAATAATTTGTAATGGAATAGAACAAGAAGTCCTGTTTGGGGCAGAGGATTGGACTGAAGGTACCTTCCAGCCCAATGATTCTAAAAGGGCAATAGAACTCTATCTGTCTAATCAGAAATGCAACCTAAGTTGCTTCATGTGGTTATGCTAAACAGTGATTCTTAGTGATGATACAGAATCGTTCTTCAGAAAATTGATTTGTTGGTTTTACCTGATCTTATCCATAGCCTATAAATTATCAAGTACTTCAAACTGGAATAGCCTTGTTTACATAATGCTCACAATAAAACTGTTTTCAGTATTCCAGTATCCTTAAGCTTCACTGTGGAATTATTCTGCCTCTACTATTATGGCTCTACTTTCTTTTTTTAATTGTGTTTAAAGACATTTCAAGGTAAAAAGATAGATTTAGAAATATATTTATTTTTCCCAGAAAGTGAGAAAACACCATTTTAAAATTCATAGGATTTTATTTTCACAGGCAGTAATAGAAACAGGAAGCAATTGGTGTGAGTTTATTTATTTCCCCCTCTTGCTAATTGTTCAAGGTATATAAACATAAAAACAAAAAATACAGAGCTCGATAGTCACCCAGTCCTTGGTCATTATCACTGTACTGTCTCTCTTGAGAGAGGCTTGCATTATGGGAGAGAATTCTCTGTTTGAATATATCTGGAATGAATCCCCCATAAAAGCTATGTGGCTCCCACTCTGATGTTATTCCAGAAGTCCTTGAAGTTTTGGCTCTTTTCCCAGGCATTGGGTTAGACTGGCTGGATGTGATTTTTTTTTTTTTTTGTGTATATATTTCGCATTCAGCAGCTGGGTCCCATCTTGTCTATTTATTCTGTAAACTTTTGTTGTTATTCTATTGCGAGCCACCCAGAGTCAATCTGGAGTAGGGAAGCACAGAAATTGAAAAAATTAGTACATAAATGTTTTTCTTCTTTACGAATATGTTACAGAGCAACAAGCTCTTGTATGATTATATCTAGGTAGGCATAAATTCACTCTCCTTCTCCATTAACTATCTTTTCCCATTGTCAAACTATGGCATTGTCCATTAAATTAAGTGTCTTCAGCGCTGGAAAAGTGAATGTGATAAACGTTTTGTTGTATATATTGCTTAAAGAAAGTTGGAACTCTTGTACCTCTACTCCTAATGGATTTTCTACTCTGAAAATCCATTAAGACTGGTATTTTCAGAATCTCAGGAGTACAAATATAAGAGTTCCTACTTCTGTTCCCAGCCCATTCTGTGCTAATGTGGGTGTGATCGGTTACATTACTATTTTATATTGTGTATTCTATTTCTTGTTATAGTTATTTTAGTCCAGGCTATTCATTTGTGTGATTTTTAATTAATTTAATGGTTTTGCACTTTTTCATGGATTTTGTAAGTCACTCAGAATTTTTTGGAATGAGTGGCCATATTAAATCTAATAAAGTCAAATCAAATCAAATTAAACATATCATTGTTAATGTACCTACATATTACTAAAAGACTAAAAAGTGATCTACAGAGGGAAGGAAACATTCTGAAAAAGATGACAGCATTTGAAACACTTGTGCAGGAGCCAAGATCCTCTGATTAAATGCATTTTAAACAATTACTAAATATGGTACAGATTAAAATTAAAAACTGCATATTAAAGTAGATATAAAGCTTCAAAGAACCATTTGCAGTAAAACAA